CGCGGCCACCGACCGATTGTGTGTGAAATGATCAAGCATTATAAATCACAGTCGAAGCGTCGTGACACTGTCGAAGACCCATCACTTGCTGGCAGCACGTCAGAATCACCCGAGTGAAGTCAACTGAGTTCATTACAAGGTAAGTGCCTCATTTGAGTCGTTAAGTGAGTACCGCTGTAGGGATAATAAAGTGCACAAACTTTCTGGTGATGAAGTGGAGACCTTGATAGATTCCGAGATGCTACGTGCCTTGAACGATCGAGATGTGTCTGAGGACGTGGATGAACAAACCCTCTGCAAAGCACAGTTGAAGGCGTTCGCTGACCATATGTACATAACTTCTGAGAAATACCAACAAGATGCGAGAAAACTCGGCATCGACCCGCAAAGCGAATCTTTCATCGCCTGGAGTATTCTCAACCTTCGAAAGGAGAATTTTTTCGAGCGACGAATCGGCGAGCCTGATATTGGCAAGGTGGTTTACCATACTTCATGCTAGTCCATACTCAACGCTCTCATTTGATTAGATATGTGAAATCGATGCGTCGATTGGATTCAGATTCAAGACTAAGACACCTCACGAGACTCAATACGAAGATATATCAATAACAGCCACCCATGACAGGGACAACATCATGACCATCGACTCCTTCGCTGTGGGGTTCAAACAGTAAGACAATTCCGGGGATTCCGATAGCTTATCCCCATCGGAGTTTTTGTCTGTGTGAATAAACCGCCATACTTTTCAGTAAGAAGAATATTTCCATTGAAGAACTCGACAGACTAAATACACAGCTGAGGAACATGCCTCATTACATTACAACAGAGAATACACCTCCAGAGGAGATTCCAAGAGACCGCTGCAAAGCCTATTTCTTCTACATAGGTTGGCAACTCGACCAGTTCATATCGACTCAGTCGGTCGATTTAATAATCATCCAAGGACGTAGCTACGGTGACTCTGAGATTGGTCTACCGTTCGTGCGCTGGAGAAGGTTCGATCGAAGGCGTGAGAAGATGAGGAAGAAAGACATCAAGAAACATACGAAGAAGAAGAAATGCTCGATGAAAGACAGGACATGTGTGTTGATGTAGATCCTCATGATGGAAAAAGTTGTTTGATGTTGATGTGTTAACCTTTACCAAGTCTTTTTGTTGTTGGGAGTTCTCTTGGGATTGTATCTCGACGACGAAATGTCACTCATGAATTTCAAATCGTATGCTAGACGTTCTATTTCACCTCCTTGTGGGTTGTAAGATGATGATAAGTAGTTCGGTTTGAACAAGACAACTTGCGAGTTCTCCCGAAATGGAGTTGTATCACAAGTATCGTGCTTTCATCACATGATCGATAATCCGTGTTAATGTATCTTCGCTGAAAGCGTGCATGCGAGGACAGGAACACTGAGCGAATTCACTCACGGTGAGGCTCATGGGGATAACACCGGCCAGTGCTCGTTCAGCTGCACCATTCTGAAAGACGCTATAGCGATTAACCATCAGATGTTTAATATGTCTCCATCTTCGCATGCCTTCTTGTGAAGGTTACACAGGTGAAGCAACTTTCTCCGTCACTACGAAGTCTACGCATGGTACCCACCACATCACAAATGTTGTCTATGGCCTCGACAGCAGCAACAGCAGCACTTGTTCAACTACTTTCAATGGTGGCAATATCTAAATTCTGTAGAAATATTCGAAATTTCTTTTAGGTTTTTGGACATTTCTACTCGAATTCGTATGTGAACTCATATAATTCGTGGGCAAATTTCTGAGCTCAGCTGAAGGAAGCGAACATATAATCTTCCAACACTGCTGTTGGTAATGATTGTGTCAGGAGACATCCTCCCTGTTAGAGCCAGTGTTGCAGGGTTATATGTGCTCGCTTTCCTCAGGTGAGCTCAGGAGTTTCCTCATCAATTGAAGGTGTTTATATATGAAATCGCCCAGGAATGTTCAGGAATTTCTTCGAGGTCTGCTCAGGATTCCCATATGTATGTAGTTGACCGTGTGCATAATTTATCACATTGGTCAATGCCATTGGACGACCCCCATGATGGTTAGTTGCTCTGTAGCTGACAACGCGACCAGACTGTGAAATTTGAAAGTCATTCGTGAACCTTCCCC